TTATCTATATATATATTATAAAAGATGAATATGTATGTTGGATAACTAAATTTTGAGATTTTGGTTAGTAAAATTAACAAATAAATGAATATTTAATAAACTATTTCTGACTAGATTTTGTTACTAAATTAATATATTACTTAACTTTATAATATAACCAGTCAGCGAAGTGACAGGTTATATATTAGTTACTTATAAAAAATTTTATATAACTTATATAAAAAAAACCTCTGGAGATCAACGTAATAATAATAGTAATATATAAAATTAGATAAGTTTATATGGAAGGATTCCATTGGCTGATATATTAAAAAAATAAATTTTACTTTGCTGACCCGGCCGGGATATGAAAACCGAAAACATAAGTTTGTATGACCTAATATGACCTTACTCTTTTTCTTTTTTTTGTATAATCATTTTATAAGTATTTTAACTAGATTAAAAATTCACTGGTCAAGTGCGAAGGTTTCTCTTGTTAGAGTATTAAAATGATAAATTTTAAAAATTATGGATAAGATCTACAAATTATATGAAATGTCAGCCTATAAGACCAGATATAAAAATCTGTTTGAGCAAAAAATATCTGAATATCCACAAATTCAAGCACTACAAGAAAATGCAACAAAGAAAATTTTAACACAAAATTTTCGTAACAACATAGTTATATTTTATTCATGATCAGAGAGTTCAATTTGTAAATTATCAGTCTTTTTACCAACATACATAGGTACGATAAAGGTTTGATCATCATAGGTTACAGTAATTGCCCCTTCTTTAGTTAGAATATTCATATTCATTGCTTTAATTATATCTTTTCCGATTAACCCACCTATTTGTTTCGCATTTTTGTCTACATATACTTTAGTATATACTTTGATTTTGTTAATTTTTATATATAATAAAGTAGCACAATATACAGAAATTATAGTATTATCATATCCAGTAATTACTTCATCAAGATCAATTTTTTCAAGATTTAAAAAATTAAATAATGCTAAAGAAATCCATGTTACATCAGATTGAGTATCGATTTCCATAGTTATTTCTTTATAAAGACTCCCTACCATTTTACAAACTTTAGCTTTTATGGATATTTCTCTTGCACCTCTTTCAGAAAAGCTAGGGCCAGCTGGCGGTAAAGTAATTTCAAATTCGGGTATTGGCAAAGTTTCAGGTGAAGGTGTTGGATTATCGAAAGTTTGTTGTGGAAATTGGCCATTAATAATTGGTGCATTTTTATCTTTTAAAACCAATTCATGTTTATTATGATATAAATGCCATGGAAACCGATAGCACAATGCGTAAGCTCCATTACATGATCTTTTAATATTGGCACATCTAACACATGGACGTGTTGCAGGAACAGGTTCAACATAGAGTCTTGGAGAACAATTTTGTACTTCTTCCCACTTAGAACAAAATAAAAAAATGCCTCTACAGGCTACTTTTTTTACTTTACATTCATTACATGCAATATTTTTAGGACCACGCCGAAAAGTAGGCTGAGCCATTAAGATGTATAAAGTTTTAAATAATACTATAAGAAAGTTCTGAATATAGTTGTTAGACGAAACCTTTTTTGCTTGATGCCGAAAGTCGAAACCTGAGCCCTAAATGACGAAACCTCTGCCAAAAGTCAAAACCTCAAATTCTTCTAACAAAAGTCGAAACCCTCAAATTCTTTGACAAAAGTCGAAAACCCAAACCTAACTTATGAAACCCTAGTACCTAAAAAAATAAATAAATTTACCCTAGTACTCCCGCTAAAAAAAAAAAAAAGAAAAAAAATTACTAAAATAATCTGTTATTAGCGAAACTCTTAAATTCTGCTGTTCCTACTAAATTAATGAAAATATATTTTCAGTAAAGCCAAGCTGTTAATAAAAATAAACCCTATATATAATTTATATATTTAAACAAAAAACAATGATTTATTATTGAGACTTTTTTTTAGTTATATTTAATGCTGAAGCTGTTTAATGACTTAACGTGGCTTGTATATTTAGTTTTTAAAAGCAAAATTTATAAATGTGTAAATAAGCCATTAGCATCTCTCGAATATTTAAATAAATATAAATATTTGGGGGTTTCAAAGTTAACAAATAAGTGACGCATTTCAAAAATAAATAGGATTTTTTCAATAGTATTTTTACTATGTTGAATTATAAATCAGAAAAATAAAATAAGATTCTCTGATTTTAACTTTGAAACCCCTAATATATCAATTATATGACAATGTTGGACAATATTGAACTAGTATTCCAAGCTAATTAAGTTAGCACTCTAACCCTAATTAAACTTAGTTTTGAAAGTTTGATCTAATACAAATTTCAATTTAATATATATATATATATACTTATTTTTAATTTAATAAAATATATACAATATTTACTAGACATTCTATAATTCAGTATTGGCTAAGCTGCTAAACCATTAAAAATATAATGGCTTAGCCTAGTGTAAAAATTTAATTAGCTTGGATCAGCATAGTAGATATTTGATTTGATTGGTTAAAAAAATATAAACAAATAAACAATATGCATAATACAGATTATTATATATATAAATTCAACCACTCTTCTAAATTAAATCTATCTGATATATAAATCACATTTTGAGACAAGTAGTACAGTAATTAGATTTAAAACAAGTAACACAATAGTTAGTCAGGACAAGTAGTATAGTAATTAAATTTGAAAGTAGTATACTATGTTTAGAACAAGTAGTATAAAAGTTAAATTTAAAACAAGTAGCATAGTAGTTAGATTTGAAACAAGTAGTATAATAAAGTTAGATCTAGAAAAATAGCATAGTAAAAATAGATTTAGAACAAGTAGTAGTAGAATTAGATTTTGGACAAGTAGCATAGTAAAATTAGATTCAAACAAGTAGCATAGTAGAATTAGATTTAGACAAGTAGCATGGTAAAATTATTTTCAAAACAAGTAGTATAGTAGAATCAGATTCAAGACAAATAGTATAGTAGAATTAGATTTAGAATAAATAGTACAATAGAATTAGATTTAATTGATAATCCGCCAGTCAACAGAAGAATAAACATAGTATAACGTAATGCAAATCACTATGTAAATCCAATATAGTGTGAATCTGAAAAATTTCTACTGTTCGTCCAAAGAAAACA